GCATGGAGGACTGTGACCAAAAAGAGGGTAAAGGAAGTTCAACGTTAATGAGAACAATGGAGCGACAGGTAGGAATGCACACTGCTACTTGATAAGAAATCAAAAAAAGGAAACATGGGCAAGGTCCACACATAAGGAGCAGGCATCCACCCGTAGTTACTGAAGTGGGGTAACCCAAAGCAAGAAGTTAACTAGCAAACGGTTTGTCTGCACAAGTGGTAAATCCCAAAGCATGCACGAGACAACATTAGTGAGCATATGACCATACTCTGGCAACTCTCTTGGCATCACACTGAGTTGTAGCCAGCGAGCTCGCTAGCGCTCGTCATGCGGACAGAAGAGAAATGTGCATAAACAAGTAGCAGTGCTATGGTCTGATCACAAGAAAACTACAGAACCAGAATAACCACGCTGTAGTTCGAAAAAAAGTTGTTCTGGTTTAGCTGTACTCAGTGGTGTTCCGCACACATTTGAAGCGGACGAATGTACCAAGAAATGATGGCTACAGTTGAAGAGTAACCGAGAAGTGCAAAATACGATGATAGCGAAGATTGATCTGGTGTAGTAAAACAGTTTGATCCGATGAGACAACAAATTAGACCACTCCTTGATTGCGATGATAAAACCATCGTTAGCTAGGGAACTTGGTGAGATGACCGATGAAGTAACGAAGCGCGTTAGCTGTACTTCTGCATGCGCCTGAAAAAAGGTCATGTTGAACACATTGACATGAAAAAGCAGCGTGTAGGATGAGACATCCCGTTTGGAACCAGTGGGTTCCATCCATCTTCCAGGTTGGGGACCACGTGGTTGAAGGTTTTGGCGTTGTCGCTCACAAGAGAAATTAGAGGCGTCAATGTTGCCATACCGTTGCACTCTGGTTTAATGCTCAATGTTAAAAGAAAATAGACAGAGGGAACTGTAAAACGCGAAAACCGCTTTCTTTCGTGCTCGCTCTGTTGAGCAAGTGCCCGTTGCTTTCATCTTCGCTCCGGTTTTGATGGCACATTTTCTATGCTCCGGTTAGTGCACAATCCATAAAAAGGGGTTGAAGGGATATTCTTGTGTTTCTGCGTCGTGAGCGTGCTACAAAAGCAAAGCGATAAGTGTGACTTCCAGCAGTTATCGATACTCCGAGACAGTAAGCATGTCCAGTAACAATGATGAAATCGAGCTTGGTGACCGCGAGACTCGCAAATTGCTCAATGGAGGTTCGGAAGGGATAAGGAACTTGTACGACTATGTAACTGAGTGCACGACAGGCATAGTAGATGGTTCAGGTTCAACAGACACCAGAGATGCATTGCGCAACAACAAATGGTGCACGTTATGTGAGTAGCTACTCGCTTCCGTTAGACACGAGTGACATCCGTGTCAGAAGTAAAGACGACGGTTCCGCTGATGTCTGTCGCGCAATGGTCGTCTGTGATTGGCAGTGTAATACTGAAGGCATACTGTGCCGCATAACATACATACGACCGATAAGCTGCTTTCGCGTTGGTTGTCTAACTTTACCAAGGGGAGAGGTGAACGTTTCGGTGACTCAGCCGACAAAAAAGCGTGGACTGGTGTGTTAGCCCGCCATAACAGAAGCATCTAGAATTCTGGAGGAAAAGTGCGGTGGAACAATGAAGCATGTCCGCGTGATGAAGTAGTTAGGTGAGGCCGAGAGTTGTTGCGTGCACACACAGCAGATAACTTGGTTGCTTCGGGAGAAAGATGAGAGGGATAAACAATTCCACCAAAAGTGGAACAAGAATGGAGAAGTGAGGTAACCCTGGTGAACTCAGAGGAAAATTTCGCATGGATACGTACAAATACGCTGGGGTCGCAGCATAGAGATTGTGCAAGCGAAGACTCCTTCAGAGACATCGTTAAAAGGCGGGATCAATAGGAGCAGATGCGGCTCTAAAGTCAGGGGGAACTAATAAGGATAAACTGTTCAAGTACTGAAGAAATGGGAAAGTGTGATCAATACAACAAGAGCGATGGAAGCCGATATGGCCTTCCCTGGCTTCATCGTCTACAGGACTAGTGATTCGTCCCAGTGTGGTGCACATAGGTAGTTTAAATATGGTGAGTCGTCTATGATGGCCGCAGTATGGCCTGGATAACATTTACAATACGTTATGAGAACATAGTGTAGCGCTGCGAGCCCTCAGTCCCCTTTGGTTTGTGCCCCAATCCAATGGGGGAAAACCAGATATAAAGACTTGGCTGATGGCACACATTCTGCATAAGGGGACGACTATACTTATACGCTAAACACACTTTCCGATACAAGTATCGCGTACTGCAGTCGCTCGTGATTTGGCCTCATCCGTTGTGAGCACGTTCTGCCTCGCCGTGCCCCATAGTCAGTTACTAGATCGCGTTCAGACACCGGCTGACCCGCATTGTCATAGCCCACCGGCTTGCCTTAGCCACCCACTTTGTTCATGTGTCATACTTGGCGAGCAGATCGCGCGCCAAACAGCAGGCCTGCTGATGATGGTCTGATTTCATCAGCTGATCAGGTGACCCATTACAGCCCCGTCCATGGTCTCGGTTCGGCTCCGCATTGTAGAGCCTTCCGTGAGTATGGGGTCGGCACGACCATCCTATACATAACAAATGATGGAAATGACACTTGACACACTGCACCAAATTGGGCCGAAAGAAGAGGCTGTAGCAGCAACCGGTAAATCACCATTGTATCTTAGACGTTATGGAGGTTATCAAAGTAAAGTGACTTATGCAGTTCATGTTGGCTGTGGTACCAAGATGGAACTTTTGCATAGCGTTCAAGTAAAGAAATCGAAAACCAACTGCAGTGATTTGTACTCGGGACCTTTCTTGGACTCATCCGTCGGACAAGACAGCATGGGAATTCAGCTCTCCACAATAGTAAGGTCTTCGTCTCAAGACCCTCGTAATCCACCAAAGTTCACTGTCAGCCTTGAAACTTTTGAACCGATGCCATTTTAAGATGCTATGAGGATAATTAAAGTGAATTCCTGATAGTAAGGTCCTCTACGTTTGCGTTAAGCCATCCGAACATATAAATTAATCCACAAACTCATATGCCTAGAGATAGAAGTAAAATCGGCCACAACTACATTGGAATAACACAATGGAGATGACTCCAATCAACGTTCGTTTCGCTAGTTGCAGCTGCTGCGACTGATTTCAATGGCTGCATGACAAACTACACGTGCGGCTGTGAAGTCTACACGGAATCACGTATTCTATTGAAGCAAGGATTGTGGAGACCAAAATAACTGCTCTACAGAAAAATATTAACAATGAGCTAGTGCACCGCGCCGACGCTCCGCTACCACGCGAACAACACCGGTAGCGTGCGAGTTAGGTATATTGCGCTGGCCGGTAGCCCAAAGGATCGCAAGTCTGCCTTGTAATGCGAGGGTGTGGGCTCGAGCCTGCGTAGGGCATCGGGTGACCGCTGCAGTATCCGTAGCGCTAACACGGTTGTTGGTGCTTACACGGCATCGAAGTATCGGTACTGCGTACCGGCATACTACTGATATCTCTCTCCCTCTAGGGATACTGCCTGTGTTACAAGGCAGATGCCTCATCCTTTCGGCTATCGGCAAAAGTAACTGCTCTCAACCGACAAACTTAAACTGATGTGCACCAGCAATGGCTAGTGGCGATGTGGTTGCTTTGATTCCAGAGCAGCCGACCGCTTGGTGACCGCCGGGTAACGATGCGATAGTTTGTGTTTGAAATCGTTTATCATATGAAAAGTCGTGCTGGTGGACAGCCATAGAAAGCGATCGTCACTGTCGACCCCGTAGAGTGCTCTGACTCCGACGGACCTTAACCTAGACATTCACACTCAGCGATGAGCACGGTATCCGTGACTCTGGTTCTCCGAATCGTGGGAAACAGCTGAGTGAAGATGTTTCGAAATACCGGTACCTCGGGTTGGCGATTCAGTTGTATGCCGAGCTTGGCAAATTGGTTGCAAACATTATATCACCAAATTCAAGAATGAACTCGCCTGGTACGACTCTGTCGATTAAGCTACAGCCAACTCTCCAGTGATGATGTCACCTCGTTTGATGACGAAACGTCTCCAATCAACTTGCCAAGCACGGTGAACAAATGAAGCTGAGTGAAGAATTCATCCTTGGCGGGCCTACAGAGAACGTAAGCCGAGACACAGTGCATCGGACTCCTGCTTATGTTAAGTTGAAGAGAACTTTCGGGTCGAATGGCATACATGGTGCTATAGAATAGAATCTACTCGACTTTCTACATATCAGAAGAGTATCAGAAGAGAGTGACTTCGACATGGTACATACCCGCGAGCCGTAAAATCGGCACTGTCGGTGACAGGAACTGTGTAAGTACCCCCACTGAAACTGGTAAGCGTAGATGGAGTACCACGCTTGTTTTGTGAAGGTGATAATGAGATAGGTGGGAAAACAAGTCTAATGAGGTGTAGAGCAATGGTGAGTATTGTACGATGACCAGTGGGAAGTAGTGGGCAACCACTCAAAGAGTTGATGCAGAGTATTCAATTCAATCCGACCTCACTGCCAGTGTGGTTTATGAAGTTAGTTGTTGTTATCCGCTAGCAAACATGATAACAGAATCAGTGAGAAGGGGAATAGAAAAAATAATTCTCAGTAACGGTGAGTTTTGTTAAATGATACGTTCTAACTGAAAATTTCCGAGATAGGGTTTATTCGAGAGTGTCCATCGCTAACATTTGATCCAACATCCTGATGCACAAAGCAGTGGAGAGCATGTCCACCAGCAAGGGAGTTACCGCGAAATCTGGGAGCACATGCACAGGTTGCGATTCTTACCGATCATGTATCCGCAATTACAGTCAACCGTTGAAGTTTAAAAAGATTTGTACTCAAAAACTGCCTGACTCGAAGTAAGCGGTTGCAAACTATCACCACTGGACGAAATTTGCGACGACTTCCCAACCCAGGATGAGAAGAGCGAGAAGACTAATTGCCGGACATCAAACAAAGGACTCGTTTTGATGAGTGGCTCCGAAGGAGCCCATGAAGTGTATTCGATGATTGCCAATGAAGTGCGAATAAATGCAATCCCCTGCAACCCTCTAAGATCGAGCCTCGCTGCGATGAGTCGAATAAACCGGAAAAATCTGAGAGTAAGAGGTGACCTAGGGGTCAAAAACTGACAATATAAGGCAAAGATGAAACAGGATAGGTAAGGGATATAGTAAGTTGCTGATATTATTGATGCGAAAAAGGTAAAATGCGAAGTGCATTCGGCTAGTAAGAGGATGGAAACAATAATGGTGGTGGCCAGCATACAGTAAAAGGTTGTCCTAAAAGAGGGAAAACCAGCGTGGAGGTGGAGAGAGAAGCTCGTTCAATTGCTTGAGTGGGTCGAAGTGGTGCAGGCAATAGGAATGAAAACAGAAATAATGAAGAAACACGGTGACTAAAAGTGATGAGGAGAACGGAGAGAAAGGACGAAAATTAAACTATGTAAATACGTCGAAATGTAAATGCACCATGGGCTACATTACATAAGAGTTCACCAGAAAAAACAGCCACAACTTGTCTAACCGGGAGAAAACTGGAAAACGGAAAAAGAGGAGGAGAAGGTGTGTTCACAGAAAGGCAGTCCTCGTTAGCATCAGTTCAGGCAACAATGGCAGCAGAATCACAGATGGCCGCTTGTCGGACAGAAGAGTGAGACAAGTACAGCCCACACGGACTCAAGTGGTTCGCCTTCCATGGGTGTGCTTACAACTGTGGAGATCGCTTTATGAAAATGGCAGGTCATACAAACACCTTGGCCAGTGCGTCAGACCCAGCACTAGCCATCAGGTGTTTGCTGGGGTGAAATGCCACTGCGTGAATTGATTCGCCAAATTTTTTCCGATGACTGGTGATTTCCTGTATGCATGTTTTCTTGTTTATGTTCCACAGACGGATTGAACAATCATGACCTGCCGGAGGTAAGTGAGGGAAGGGGAAGAAAGGGATACGATAGGATCAAAATGAAATGTGATCGAAAACATGTATTGAAATGTGAAGCAAGAATAACAAGGGGGCGCGAGCTGAATGAGTCAGACACCTGCGGTTCAACAAAAACAGTTCACACATGAAAGATGGATGATGTATTTAATGAAAATAGCAAAAAAAGCAAATAATAAAGCATTTGTAAACCGAGAAAATGGTTCGTGAAGAAACGCAGTCGTATCGGTGAACAAGAAGACAGCGAGCGTAAATTTGTAAAATACATGAAAGTTAGGAGGTGGAGGAAAGAACAGAGTGACTTTATCATTCAATGTGTAGTGCGGATGATTAGAATGGAGTAACGCAGACCCGAACGAGGCAGTCAAACCCACATAGTCAGAGATTTAGCGCAGTGTCTCAAAGAAAATACGATTAGATTCGATGGCAGTGTGTCCACACAAGAGTGAATGCGGAATCCGCCGGGTTGGAAGATGCACATAACGCTACCACTAACGACCGAACCAGGGAGGAGCAATCATTTAACGGTGAGCAAACCATGGATGGTGCCAACGAAGTGTACAACAGTTGATGGGTTAAATTCGGATGTGCACAACCATTAATCACGAACAGAGCGGGGTGTGACGTAAAGCATGTGACGATCGGTCACTCAGGGAACAGGTGCCATCTAGTCGTAGGCGGTGAACGTCACGAAAACGAAGAAAGCAAATGCAGACAAAAATAGACATTGCTAAGGGACGTTGTCAGAATCAGATACTAATTGCTAATCCATCATGAATTCATTAAAGGAAGAAATGGGATATTGATGTCATTCCACATATAATGGAACCTGGGTTGTAAATTGTGGTGACAGCATGACGCGCAGAATATAGAAGCAAGATTCGGTGAAGGAAAAGATACGTGATCAAAAGAAAATATGCATCAAAGCAGAAGTTAGGGACAGACATTAGCTCGTTGCTGCTTTCAGAATGACGAATACAGGCTTGATGCCCTAAGACTATGTCAAGTAGGCGTTGCGCACGGTACGCATGAAATACATGAGTGCGTTCCTAATTGCTCAGAAAAATTGGTTGCAATACGAGGCAAAGAAAAAGAGAAGAAAGCTGCTTTGATGTGAGCGATCAAGTTCGGTCGACTTTCAGAGTACAACACCATGTGCTTTAGAATCCGTGTGAAGAATCTTAGATTAACAGTTAATTAACAATCCAATAGTGTCTCTCTGAAAAGTCACGTTGACCCATCATCATCGAGGATAAAGAACACACTTCAGCTAATGTGCCGCAATACAATAGGTTAGGCAATACAGACTAGCAAAACGAAAAAAGTAATATAATGGCGAATATCATAGTATGCAACAGATGTGAAATCGTTGTTGGGTAGGGAAGCAAAAGGGAAAGGGATAAGGAAATTCACAACGCAAACGTCATGGAAGTCGGCTCCTTTCTATGTCGACAAGTGTGTACAACCAAATATGCTCATCGTTCTTCGGACCCAAGCCCACCAATCAGGATACACTAACCGACGATGAGTTCAAGTGAGGGTTTTCATTCCTCTTGACTAAATAATGCCTGATCTACTGTCATCTTATTACATCTAGACCCCGGTCACGTAAACAATGCACGACGCGGGAGTCGGTATGCTGGCATGCGCGATGTATAAGCGATGCTTTCATTTACAGATGCTAATGGTAACAGAATTGTGTGAGGTGATGGGGTGTGAACAATAACCTACTTGTGTGTCACCTTTGCATGTTAGCATCACAATGACTGGGACTGGATGCAAGGAGATAGGTAGCCAAAGCAAAACAACGCTTTGACAGCGATGAACCACCGTTGCGTGAGAGATTTCGGATACTAGGTGGCTATCCACGTGGAAAAAGACACATCGTAAATAAAACAACAAAGTGAGATCAGGGAAACCGCGATGGCGCAGGTGGGCAGAGAAAGCACTCATACTGGATTAGCAGTAAGAGAAAAAGTGGTATAATTTGTGCAGGTGACAGGAGCAGTAGCTCTACACTAAGTGTGGCAAGATAAGTTAGCTCTATTCTATTCCACGGATCTATGTCCAGCGGAATCCTAGACAAGAGAAGTGTCCATGTGTTAGAGTAGCGCCCCGAGTAAAACAGACTGACTCTGGTTGTGTCCCTCGAATATAAAGTCGTGTTCTGTTCTACACTTCTATTTCAAAATGACCCGCCATTAGCCGTTGGGACAAGTATAGTTCCCCGCGACTCGATGATTCAGGAATAGATGCCTCAGCTGACACTTCAAAAATCCGGGGTTCGAATTGCAACCGCGCTGTTCCCACATGACCAGTGTAAACATGCACCAGTCGTGAAATGCAGTGCTGTGAGTGAACAACACTTAAAGTTTATCTGAGTCAGACATGGTGTGAGTGACCGAACTGACAAGCCTACACTTCAAAGTTCTGTCGTACTACGTATAATCATGAAAACGGATGCGGGTAACTTATAGCGCTGTATACGCACAACGCTTAAGTACCTTTAAATTAGGGCAATATGTACTTTCGCAAGTTACTCAATGACTTGAAGATTGCTTCCATGTGACAATAGGTCAGCTGCAAGGACCACTTGCAATGTGGCATTGTTTCGCTGCCGTACGATGACAATGGCCTGAATGAACGTAAATAATAGGGAAAGAGAGTCTACCGTAAAACGTTAGGGCCAAAACTAGTACACCACAACAACAGCAACAGCTCAGACAATCACAACCGATGTCGACCGTTTGAAACTGCAGACGAACCGATGAGGCGGATGTTGTGTAGCTTTCACCGTTCCGCATCACAATATCAAGATCACTTCGTAGACAATTCGTAATCATACGAAGCCCAAACAGGGAATCCTGCCGAAAAAAACGACAAACGAAAAAGCAGCACGAGAAGTATGTCACCGTATTATGCTATATCTGACATTTAGCACCTCGGTGCGAACTCCGCGATAATAACTAGCTACCTCAGTCCATGCAGGTAAACCGTTCGGTATCCTTTAACCAGCTGTCCCAGCGACGACCGGATAATTCGTGTCTTCTCCAAAATACCGAGTGTAGGAATAAACAGCGTTGACGCATAATCGACTAAGTGTGCTTCAGATTCTAACTGCTCTAAAATCTATCACCATTGTGGCACCGTACTGGTATTGCGTATGAATCCGAATGACGATTGAGTTTCGCGTCCTTCCTTAGCGTACGTTCAGGACTAGTTAGCGGTAGACTTTCGACCAGAATCGATCGAAGCACGCGACAGCAACGGTTATGGTGCAGAACGCTGCGCTCCGTTTTTATCCCAACACACATGCACAGGCAAATTTGGCCACGTTGCCCATTTCTTTCCCGCTTGTCTCACGGCCTAGATAAATGCCAGCCGTGAGCGTCACAAACGCGTGGGCAAGCAGACACAATCACTCGCGCACCGCCTGATCGGCCCATACTGCGCACTTGCGTTCATCGCTGGTCGTCTATCTATTCTGTGTCGGTGATGGTGTGCGCCGAAGGAAGGCAAGTTGGCTTGCCTGAGTTACGATTCGAACAGACAATGCGCGCGCGAGCGCAACACGAGCTGTTCGGTGCTAGCACGTGAACGACAAGGCATGTTCACGCCGAAAGTCCTCGTTCAGGCATGCGAACGGTGAGGAATGTGCAATGACCGAAGTTAACTATGGTGGTTTCGTCTTCTGACGGTCACTGAACTGGATATACAAAATTTTCTCCCCATTACGCAACAGCTACCGTTAAATCACGCATCAAACGTACACCAGTTTGGCTGAGCATGATGATGATGCGCATCTTAAACGCTGCATAAAATGGTCACTGCAGCTTTTCATATAGTCGGAATGAACAAACTTCGTGAAAGGAAGTGCTTGAATTGGGTTTGGTTGAGTTAGTATAAGGGATTCTGGGATAGCGTGAGCAGGGTGCGTATGAAAACCCGAACGGTACAACGTTGCTGGTGAGACGTGAGAACTGAGGCCAGTAATTTTGTCACAACTAGCGTTAGGCTAATGCCCTGTGGTTAGCACAGTCGGCGCGACTGCCCTTCTTGTAGATTGTCACCATAATCGATTCACTCGGGACGGTCTTCTTCCAGATATGTTCGAACAAAAAGGTCAGGACTTTGTAGAGGACCTCACCTCCATCCCTAAATAGTGCAGGTAAGAGGGAATCCTGGCCAGCAGCACGAAAACGATTGAGGGCTGCGATCGCGTCTCGGACCTCAGTCTCCGATAAAGCCTCTAAACTAATCGTCCATGCTTCATCATGCATCAGCAGAGGGTTAACTGAACTGATCTTGAAAGTGTTCCGCCCAACGAACCATACGGTGCTGCTTATCGCGTATCAGTGCACCCGCGCCGTCTCTGACTCTCACTGACGCCTGGTTTCCTGGGACCAGTGATGCGGATAAGTTGGAAGAGCTTGCGATAGTTCCCTACTGCTCGCGCCTACTCCATTTCTTGAGCCCGAATGGTCCACCAAGCTCCATTGTCAGCACGCAGGCTCCGCTTTAGTTTGCGCTTAATAGTCCGTCTGGTTACACTGTACTCAGCCAGAAAGGAGGTTTCTTCTGGATTCCAACACGCTCACCGACCTCTAGGATATCCAGTGGCTGTTGCGGTGACGATTGATATTAACACAAGCTCAGTGTTATCAGGACAATGGGGCGAAAGTTCGGTAGGTAGTTCATCTTGGTAGGTTTGCCTGACCGAGGGCTGGGATGATTTCTCAGTTGCCAATCGGAGGAGACGCTTGATGCGCATTCCGGTAGTTCATAGAAAAACGACAGCGCACCAAGGGATGATACGAGTCTACGCAAGTATTCCAGAATGAGCGGCAATCCAGGCTGGAACTACGACAGCCGTAACTTATTGCAATGTGATGTATTTGGGTCCACCGTTGGCCAGCTACAGAAGGACGCCAAGTGGCCCTTCGGTATCCGCTGAGTCTGAAAGCAGTGCTACTAAGAAACAGCTGATGCTTCACACACAGTTGCGAAAGACTCTCGCCGTTGTCCCTGCGATCGGAGTTAAGCCCATAATTACCGCCTAAATGAGCTTCTGAAGAACCCAGGCGACCTACTTGCAAATTCATATCCCCTGCAAGTACTATATCTGAACTGGTAGCACTGCGTAGTAGCTTGTTCAGTTCGTGGTAGAATGTGTCCTTTGCAGCATCCAAAGTGCAGAGCATAAGCGGTAACCACAAACAAACAGCGTCTTGTACTACTTCGTGAATCAACCTTGGTCGATGCCGTCAAACGGGTTGCACACAAACGTCTGTTTGCCGGAATCCAGTCAAGCAACGAGGACCCAGCCTTGGAGCTGAATACGATACCTACCCCAGCCTGACTAGATGCTGCTGTATCAGTGTCTCCGGATGGGTGCAACCAATAGCGAGAGGACAAGCCGGATGCAGTTAATTCACTAACTTCGTGAGGGTTACTATCCTACTTTCAGGTCACTACCTAGTGCGCCGAAAGTGCATGTTGGCATACCTAGTTACTTTCCAGCTAAACTCAGGACCAGATACACGCCCGCAACTGAGTGTCTGAACCGACTGAGTTAATTCGGTTGTGGTTTCAGTTAGTCGAAAAAATGGACGACGGACAAGCTCAGTTCGAGCAGAGTGACGCGGTCGTGCACATATGCGAATCGGGTATAGCGTCAGATTAGGGTGACTAGTCCGAATCTGCCCCACTCGCACACATCACATGCAGTGGAAGCTGCACCATCACGTTTAGGATAGTAAATGATTTCAGTGAGAGTGGATCAGTTGGGTAACATAAAAACGACTTAGGATAAGCTGTGTTGGAGACACATTCAGAAGCAAATCGCGCAATCAGTGGGGGCAACTTACTGCCGGATATCAAACAGATGCCATGAGGATCCACATCGAGCGACGTGACGGCGTCCAAGTGAGCAACCATGGTGTGAGTGCAGTTGCCACTATTGGTATCGAAAAATCGAATGTGACGATCTTCGAAGGCACTCACAGCCAAAGAGTGCAGTGGATGCGAGAGGACACAGGTTACCGCTGTCAGAGCAGGAGAAGTAACCTCATTCGGAGAGGACTCTGAAGGGGAGTACAGAACAGAAATAAAATGGGAATGCTTCCGAACAAAAGCGAGTAAGCAAAGGATTTAAACTGAAAGGAAGTCAAGATGAAGAAAACGTAGTGCGATATCAAGCGATGCTAGGAATTAAGAGAGTGAGAATTTAGGTACAGTTTCAGAGGTAGTTCGTCGCAGTCCCCTCTTAGTCAACAGGCGTTCATAAGTTAGCAAAAGCATCAGACAGCTATTTCGACTTTCTGGGTCTCGTCAGTGGTGCCTTCCTCGGACTCCTGCCGGGTTCCGACCCCATGATTTCCGGATGCCAGCATCTTGTGCCACTAAGCCATGGGTGACGGCCGCGTACCTGTATGACTGACAGTTGAGTACGATATAGCCCGGCTCATCCTCCAATGCCATATCAGTTATGAAATGTTGTCGACGACAGGAAAAAGCTGATCAGGTAGGTTATCTGAATGTATGTCACCGCTCTAGCAATTGATTAATTGTAAATATGCAGTTGATGTGCCCTAGACCAGAGCGGAAGCTAGCGACAGTTTCACTGATGCAGCTCACCGAACACAAGTGAGTCACCGTAGAATTTTACTTGTGAGAAACTGGTAGCCAATGGAAAAAACGCTAACGCGTCAATGACGGTGTCGTTGCACGCATGGCGATCAAACAGTATAACAATAAGGTCATACATTACATCGACCAGATTGATTGATTGGGGCCAAGAAGAGCTGGAATAATGCAAGCTTCACATCACAGGACAGTGAGTGAACTGGGGAGGTTGCATGACGTGCTTAGAATCATGCAGCGAACGTCGTGCCTAGCCGGTGACGTAATGCCAGAATGAAAAAAATCACCAGTGTTTGACTGTTGTTGACGAATTGGCGTTCGTCTTCGTTTGACATGTCACATTCAGTTGCACACGATGTGACTGCCGACAGACCAGGCCACTCATAGATTATCTGGTCTGGAAGGCTGTTAGTGTCTGTTGTTGGTGTTGTGGTTGTTGGTGTTGCAGTAAGCATACGCACAGTCTATGTAGCACGATGAAAGACAGGGGCCTAGACATCGGATTCTATACGTCTGGTGTTTGACATGAGTGATTGAACAGACAGCGTTGAGAAATCATCAACCATGTATAGTTAATCAAAGATGAATCAAGGATCAAAGTAAGGTGAATGTGGTTGTGAGCAATCCAGATATCATAGTGGCGCTATGGGTCGCGGAATCTCACGAACCATCACATCAACATACGTTAGTTGAGGATGAGAGACACACTTGTTACTCTGTTGCGATAAAATATTAAACATTAAAGAATATAAACAAAAATACAATATTATAGTGCTGTATCGTATTATACATGGGGGATGAGATCACAGTTGGGGATGGAAGCGAAGCGAGAGGGGGAAGGACAAGGAAACTCACAACACAAACGACACTGAAGTCAACTCTTCACCATGTTAACATGGTCATATTCTTTTGGACTCCAGTTTAGCCACAAATAAGTACACCAGTATTGCCAAGTTTAATTCCGAGGGGGAACACCAAATGGAATAAATTGACTAGGGTAGCATCAAATCAGTTATTGTTCCACAGAACGTGGTGAATGGGATCCATAAATCAAACGAACGATACAAGCAATGCAAATTAAAAGACATATGGGTGAGAGTATCCGGGAATCAGCAGTAAAGAGGATAACTCGGTGGATAATATATCTCTCCACTTAGTGTTCCACATTAACCGCAACTAATCAAATTTCACCAGACTTCTTTCGAAAGATATAGTTGTATAAAATAAAAGCACAGCTCAGGTGCAATCAGTAGTAGATTCACAAATACAATAAGCCAATAATGTGTGCTTAAAGTGACATCTCTTAGGCCTAAAAATATTACGACGACGAATGCAGGACGTATACAAGCATGTCAACAACACACTGCTGACAGCTGTGCCCTGTGTGAAACAGTGGAGAGCTAACTACGTAAACAGATCAATGGTAGCCAACAGTATAATTCATTTGGCTAACAGCCGATATTAGCATACGATAAGGTCGTTCCGCAATCAACAATCGAGTGAACAAGCCAATATGTTATTCTTAGTAACCAACTACTGAATTCTAGTAAGTAGGACACGTATTACGCAAAAAGTTAATAGTGCACAATCTGAAGCCATCCAGTTTGAGACAAGGATCCACAGTCCGTTATTGATAATGTTAGGAGGACGACGGTGGAAAGGAAAAATTCAGCGAACCAAGCACGGATCTAATTCTAACCTTTATTTCTAAAAATTAGAGTAATCACATTTGTTAGCTGAAAGAATGTTCACGGAAAACCTAATACTATTAGTACTGGTAAGTTAAGAACAACAGAACAAAGAAGGTGCAAAAAGGCCACCAAGAACACATAAATATTGGAATCCTGCGTCACTTATTTGGCGGCCTTTAAGCGGGTATCTGCAACCTATCCTACTTGATCGGCCAAGCGGAGCGGTTGGGTTTTCGAACAGCTAATCAGAGTGGCCCGGTGCGACCTTAGTTACCATGACTGGCATTGCTCAACAGATGTACTATCAGGGTTACCTTGATGAGGTCTTTAAGAGAACAGCAAACAGGACTTTAAGTGCTTATCAGTCACTTCTTTCCGTAGTATGTCTGAACACATTCGCGGAGATCAATAACAGTAGTCACCTGTAATTTCCGCCACTCCATTCCGCATTCCATACTAGCCGCCGCTGTTAAATTGAGACAAGCCGTCCAGCCAGATTATTTCCTTCGGTCCATGATCATGGATGATAACGAAATGACTAGTCGTCCAGCATTGTATTGTACAGCGAGTTGATGTGCCCAAACAGGTTTGTTTACCGTCATCCTCTCACCAATAAAGACAAAACGTATCCAAAACGCATCACAAACGGCTTCCTACGATGAGAGAGTGGAATCAGAAAAAGCTAGGCTCGTTCCCGATTGTCGACTATGGTTATCCTCCGCCTTAGTAACTGCGCATAGTGTCGAAAACCTGAGGTGTAGAAAGAACTTCCTACCATTGTGATGCTATGGGGATAACGAATAGGCCTGTGAGATTCCACACACTAGTTGGAGCAGCGCATTGCATGCATTGGAGACCGCTTGTCCGTTTGAAACATAAGACATCGCAAATGCGTCATCGATTCTCACAAACACCGAATAACTTGGTCCAACAGTTGCACCAACATTATAGTGGTGGGGTTTAAACAAAGAGCAGATTTCAAGTGGATAGGCTGTAGCGATGGGTGAAGTAGCAAACGCATTCGACTCCCCATGTTTCTAGAGAAGCCGCAGCATTCAGCATGTGCGTATCTGGAACTATGACACGAATAGGTGAAGAACAGCGAAATGCCTACTGACATTTCTGAATATTGACAAATGAAAATGGGAACGGGCTGACACATTCGTTGCAGGGTAAATTAAAACAATGAGAGTCAACAGGTCGCCTCAAAAATGTTGGATTGTGCAGATGATGTTGCCGGCAGCTGCCCAAGACCGAGTGACGATTACGTGATGAAGACACTCTGAACTGGGACACATTGTTATCCGCAGTTTCTCGCTCGCTTCCGGAGTAGCGAATGTCACGGATCACTTAAACGTAGAGCCGAGATGAATAGTAAGAAGTAGCCAACAATTACATCTGACTTACCTGGTCCGTCGCAATCCGTCCACGAATGTGACATACGAAATGAATCAATATGGAGGAGTTTGAAACAGGAAAAACAAAGTGGATAAAAACTAGGCAGCAGTCTGTCTAGCCTGAAAGCATTGAGATAGCCATTAGTTATAGCCAATGCCTGTGAAAAGCATGCATGAGCCAAATTGATCCCATGGATCGACATCCACCCAGACACAACATCAAGCAGTTGTTCGGAAAGCGAGCGGAAAATTGTAGTTGAGCTCAGATGTCGGTCATGAAGGTGAGGAAATAAATGGTTATGTGCGCAATTTCTGCTTTCAGAGAAGAATGCATGACATTCGGTCTTAATACGTCAAACGAGGTATCACAAGAGTGGTCTAAATGCGAATGAGAAAAAACCACAGATCAGGCACTCGTGTGAATGAGAAGCAAGAGAGACACTTGATTCCGAACGCTTCGCAACTGGATGATATGCAAAGGCTACTCAAATGTCAGAGATAATAGCTGGCTTCTCAACAGTGACAAAAACCTTGGAGATAAGAACTCGTAAAATTTACCAGTGGAATAGAACGTGGAGATGAGTTGGTTCGTTTCAATGTCGAACAACCCAACGTGTCCGGAGGTGAAGCCAGCCACGAAATGATTTCTATCGGTTTGGACAAAATCAACCGAGGTAGGAACGGGAGCCATGGAACCGAACTCGACGGACCGAGTGGCCAAAGCTGTCATGAGAGTGGTTGTAAGTTTAAACTCGCTCCCGGTGAGGATTGAAGACGGGGGATGAAGTGCGCAAGCTAGATCGGTAGGCCATAAGCACGCCGTTCCGTCAGCGGAAACCGAGAGGAGGTACCCATCTGGCTGAGAGTGAAGACAATGAGAGAATGCAGAGAAGAAAACAGAAAAGCAGGAACGTCACATACTGACGAGCTAGAAGAGAAAAACACAAACTTGGAAAAGTATAAGATACTGGTGCATAGCGAATGAAGTCAGGAATATAGGCTAAACGCTGGTTGAGCAATTGGTCAACTGCAACACAGACACTCATGGTAATGTCAATAAAGGTTACTACACGTGAAGACCCGTAATAGAAACAGCCAAAAAAGACAGAAATGATAGTATGGATCAATCCTATCAGTTAATTTCTGAATGACAAGATTCTGGTCAAGCACAAAACGATAGATAAGAGATAACCGATGAGCTGGAAGTTCGTACGCGGGTAAACAGGAGTTCGTGCTTTCGTCTAGTCTAGGAGCGGTGTGAATTTTCTAGTTTCCCATAAATTAGTGTGGAAAGACACTATAACACCGAAAGGATTGTTTTTAGAGATTCGCAACGTCGAGAAATACTTCAGAAAACATGGTGACTGCTTTGAGAAAATCACTCTTTGAACACTCAAGGTGAAGTTGAACATCGATGCTAGTGACGCCAGGGCCAATGAATAAAGGCAACCTTCGAATGCATGATACATCGTAATAACTGTGCACGTGTCCAGTGGAAGAGAAAAACGATAGAGCATTGTATAGACGGCGAAAAGTAGGTTTGGTTAGCTCAAATCAACAGCGGCTATTCGAGTTGGAACGGTTCGGTACCACGTGATTGGTGTACATCAACCTGTCTGGTAGTGGATAGTGGGGCAAACTGTCAAGTACGTACTATTCATGCTCAGTGCCAAAATAAGAAGTAAGCATCCCCCTATAAGGAGACCGTTTATACTACCGCATCCGGGTATCCCCCATTGTTTGTTTATAGTGTCTGAGTTGTTCGATAGAGATAAAACCACAGAAAAGCAACATATCGTAGACAATGGTTGATGATTTGCTCGTGAAATGCAATAACCGACCGAGTGAACAAAGGAACAAAACAAGTTGACAATAGCAGGTGAAAAACTTCCTGTTGAACAAGCGGTATTCACGAAGAATAATCGGGTGGTGGTATCACTGACAATTGAACAAAAATAAAACGGAACACCAAATGCCACTTGGAAAACGGAACACTATTTTCATATGCCGATATTTTCTTCAGGGAAAGTTCAATGTTTGAAGTATAAGACGTGTGATTCAATACGATTCTGCTCACGATACTTACACTGCTCCCGGTTGCGAGTCATATGTTCAAACGTGTCAATCAAGACACCTCTGCAAACTGTTGTGAATCATCTCCAAGCGCGCCCTGCCAATGGCACGCCTCATCCTTTAGTCCCCATCCAAGCAGGCGTATGGATCCAACGGCACATAGACGCGACATCTGCGGTTTAATGTGCTGGCGTCAAGTAGAAGGCTGACAAACACGCAGTCGCCTCCAGTTTGGTCCTGCAAATAGAGCACCGCGCGTCGGACGCTCAGGCGCCATGCGTAGGACATGACCGAGCCATCTCGACCGGTGTAGCAAAAGCAGCTTGTTAAATGGAATACTCACATTCGCATGCGCGTAATGTCTAAAGCCAATACTGTGAACTCGGTGTTGCCGCTACACACGTGCGATCCTCCTCAAACAACCGTTGTCGAAGGCGGAAAGTTGGCGCATCTTTTCCACACGAATTGGCCAGGACTCATTCCCATGCAACAGCACTGAGCTAATGGAGACACTGTAAACGTGGCCCTTTATCGAGATATAGACTTTCTGATGGCGGGACAAGTGCCGCAGATTGGCAAATGTTGATGGGGCTTTATTGATGCAGAGAGAAACTCGCTGATAGTGCCGCCAACAGAAAGATAACCCGATGTAAACGAAACCATTTACCAGAGGAGTGGTCACAAGAGCGGGGGCGGTCTAATCATAAAACAGCACTCTACTCTTCGAGGGGCGAAGTTCATGCAATACCTAGATGGTTCAACCGCCAAACAGCTCGGAATGAATTGCATACTCTGCGAAGCGTTAGCAAGCAAAGCGATATCATCAGCATAGTCTAAGTCGGTTGCGCGTTTATTCGGTAGAAGCCCTAAGCCTAACATTTTGGTAAACTTATAGAGCTATCGACAGGACGTTTGTGATCGCAAAGTTGAAGAACAATAAGGACATAGGAAGCCCTGTCGTACACCGATATGGACAGCGAAGAGCGAAAAAAGTTTGCCGTAAAGTGCGGGTAGGATGGCGGTATACCCCATACTTCAACAAGCAACGCCATAGAGCGGAGTAAAATACAGTCCCTATGTCAAAGAATGCAACGATAGTGATGCTGCGATAAATGCGACGCAATACCTATTTAGTTTACATGAACGGAATTGGTGTGTGATGCGGCTCAAGGTGGGATACCAGTATTGCGGATCAATTGCAACACCAACACTAAAATACAATCGCGACTCAAGTTGTGGTCAATACGACCAATGAGAAATTAGGAAGGAGCAAAAACATAACCGGGAGCTGATTGCTTTCTGTTGCTTACAGGGTTAAAAATAAGACGAAACCAATCGGTAAACGATGTGCTAAGTGCGTGCGAACGTCAACGAGAACAGAGAAGAAGTTTGAAAAGACAGTGGTAAAAATGGATAGACCAGTAAAGTGCGTTCCAAAACACAGACAAGCGTCCAGAATGGTTTAGCCAAAATAAATGGATACGTGATTCTTAAAGCTGCGACACGCCATTCAAAATGGGCATCTTATTTGCCCGGATGAAAATCCGCGAACTGGTTTTGGCATCACCTCACAATTTAGCACTAAAAGAAGTTAGTATCTGTGGCACAAATGTCAATAAAGCTCATGTAACGTATCAGTAAGCCACAGACGAGGAAGTTGTATAAGAATGATCAGACGGGACACTCACGCGAGTGACTAGGGACCAGATAGCGTCACTGTGGCCACGAAGAAGTGGTCCGTTAACAGTTGGATCAAACGTATCGTAGGGGTCCCAATGAAGGTTTGACAAGCGCCAGCTTCGCAAGTTGCCATGTAAATCGCCAGAAAAGACGACCAAAGAAAAAGAACCGCTAGACTCCGGCTGCGTAACCATGGAGAGCGAGAGGACCGGCGCGTTGTGGCCCCGAAAGGTGTAGACCTAGATAAATGAGATGAGCGAACTCCTTAACTGACGGGAGCCCGTTAAATTAGAACGATGTGAAATAAACAATAGCGGGAACTATTAAGTCAGGGGCAGCTGTAATCATCAGTGGATAACAAATGGAAGCGCATTAGCTGACGGAAGTAGTGGTTCAGGAAACACTATACTGGAAACGACAGTGGTTGAGATCCATAGCTTTGAGATTAGGTATTTTCAGAGCAACCTTGAGGTGTGCTCATCGAAAGAAAAGAAGCATGAGATCGCATTGGACTAGGCCATATGGATACATAAACAAACGTCAATGCGAGCATTATCGTGCTCTGTCGTGAAAAATAGAACAACGACTTAGAGGCATCGTTTTCCTTGAAGCTGACTCAGCACAGCGGTGAACAGGAGTGTTCCTATTAAGAGATCAGTCAAAATTACCGTCAACACAACAGTGAACAGATAAGAGCTCATAAACAGCACGTCGTGCTAACAAGATAGGATAATGTGAAGTGGCGAAGAACTGGTATACCTGATCGTTGCTCACAAATGTACTTCACGCATAGAGGCAATGCATAAAAAAGGCATCAACAGTACGCCGGCACACTGCACCAACGTTTCGCAGTCCCGTGATCGCCAACAGTTGCGTGCGGGCTGAATATATCACGGATACGAACCGTGCAAGCGCGTAATGCATCAAACAAAATGCACTCGTAGTTCGATGCTGACGAAACGGGGTTGCCGAATCTCACATTGCCGTAAGAAGAGAGATTGATAGTGAAGCAAAAGAATCTAGTAAGGAACAAAAGGAAGAGGCTGAAAACACACATGCCGCTAGTCGGTTTTGAAATAAGTTCGAGAATCGGCGACTTGATTGTATCCGAAGGGCAAAATTGAGGTAGAAGTAACGAAGTCGCTGAAAAAGTAGTAGAGCAAACAGCAGAGTGGTCAACAGTCACTGACGACCAAACTAGGTGCCGTTGGTTCGTCTCGACTTCCGGGTTGGAGTCCACGTGACTCACCTTGTGCTTGGCTCGAGACTTTGCAGGACATGGCTCGCAACCGACACCAGTGGCGCGTCTGCTGCCGTCTCCTAATCGGATTGGTTGTTTAAATTGTGTTTGGTGCTGAGTTATCTGCGGGGTAATGGCTGATTATGACGCGTCGCAGTGAAAGCCGCAAGGATTTTGTTTCGCCGATGCCGCCTTATCTTTGCACGATAGCCAGCTGTTTGTGACGGTATGTTGTCTACACAAGGTGTAGGCGCCTTGACCCTGAATGTTTGCTTAGGGCATTAAGGTTTTCAGGTAAGTCCCCCTTCTCTCCCTCTTCTTATTCTTTATTTCATAGGTCCTCATGGTTGTATGGCAGCGAAGCATCAGTTCAAATGGCTGATGTACTGCTGTTGATGATGATGAGAGTGGTCAACATGACATACAAATAGGACTGAAAAACTCATGGTGACTATCCTGAATCAACTGCGGGGTAGAATCCGGGTAAACAAGTTATTAGAGAGATAACGGCTTGGAAGGTAAACTACGGTTGGAAGTGCAAAGCTGTTGGCCTTATCTCGCATTTTATAGCTAAAACAGGTAGTCTAAGATATCTGTGAGGATGCAGCTCAATGCAGAATAAACAGCACACAAGCACGAGTAGACATTCCACGGGTACCCTCTAGCTAGTGTGAGGCTTGCAACGTCTATCTGGGTTATAACTGCTTGAAAGGAGAAGTACGGAAACCTGAGAAGAACTAGTCGGGTGAGGTTTCACCAAAGAACAGTCAAGGCTGAATGACGGATCCAAAGTAGATACAATGAGCCCGTTTAGTTGCCCCAGTCCCACGCCACCAGCGTTTTTTCAAGGTGTCTGACAGCAATCTGAAGCAGGGGATCTGGGTACCTTGGTAATCGCAATGTCAGAAATGCAAATAAAAACAACAAGATTACCTAGACAGACTAATAGGTGAGTTTTATGACAATTTGTGACATCTAGGCTCAATTAGGCATTCATCGCACACCCAGAAAAGCGCCAGACGGTTGTTAAATCCTATTGGGATTTGTCAATAGAGCATATTTGTCGGAATTGCTAGATCCAAATCCATGGCTTTATTCGTACGAATCAACGACTTAGGCCACTGAGCTATGGGTGACGGTAATGGATCACCATAACTGATTGCTAGCCTCGATATGGTGTACAGAAGATGAAACTGACTACTGAAATTGAGACCTTCACTGTAAGCACTCTTCCGGATGTATGCGGAAGATAGGACTGAGCCTAGCTGTGCGAACAGCTCTCAATACGTTGCGTTACCCTCCCTGTCCAATAAATAGGGAGTGAAAATGTAGAAGCATTTCCATCATTATAGGGAAAAAGAGGTACCATCATTGCCGAAGACAAGACAGGTAACTGCGAACTGGAATGTAGGAGAATGATACATCCATAACGCTCAGAGTGGATGCGAGAGGATCAAATAGTCGAGACGTGGTTCACTCACGGGTTCTACGTCGAAATTGTTTGATTTCTTTGCTTGCACTGTCTTGTTAAGATTCCACAACTTTACAGTATGGTCCTCGCTCGCAGTGACCAACATTGGCTCCGTCGGATGGAACTTGATACTGCGTATGGCATCAAAATGACTGCGGAGGGTGTACTTTGCCGTCCATGGGGCAGTCTCCACCGAAGGCGATGTGGAGATTCGCGAGCAGGATGATTCGTCAACAGCAAGTTTTGGGTGCGATACCACGCAAACACCATCCAGATTATCCATCGCCGCTGCTACGTTTTGGAGGTGTCCCGGATCGGATTCATTGGCAACCGTGAGGCTAGCTAGATCACCGAGACCGATGGAGGCGGGTACAGAGGAAACGATGGGCAAAGGTGTCTTCGAGCCTATAGTTGTCATGGTAGCTTGGAGGCTGGAATTTGTTAGCAATTCCTGCTGGGAATGTGAAGAGGAGGAGGTGGACAGAACGGAATCGTAGTCTCTAGCCGCTTCTTCAAGTTCGTCAATCGAAAATGATGTAGTGGGCGAAGAGTAGATACTTTCCGGAGGCCGCTTAACATCGATGTCTTCGCCAGCCGAGAGTGCACCAAGCTGATACTCGAACTCAGATTGTCCGGTGCCTCCTGGGCCACCTGAAGGCGAAGAGGAGCGCCATAAAATGCGATCCTCCTTTGACAAGGGAACATCTAATGGGAGTAAAGAAAACGATGCTGTGATGGGGCAGAATATTGATTTGGTGAGATAGTGAAGTAGGATAAGGTATTAAGACGTGTAATTAAACAACTATGCGGTGAACTAAGTGGACGCTAAGACAAGACGATCAGCACGTGTATACGCAGTGAAACTTCCAAACTGAAAAATAGAGCATAGTAGACGGGAACTTCTTTTTTGCTGTGCGTTGTTAGAATAATGACGTATGGGAGAAAAAAGCGGATGAAGGCGAAATAGCACAGAAAAAGGAAGCACACGTCATTTACAAAAAGTCGTCAATAACTACGGTGGGGATCTGATAATGAGGGGACAAAAAAGCAAATTCCACATCCAAGTGATCGATTGGCCACCAGCTCGCCCTCGCTATCCGAATAACTACAGAGGCAGGGTACAAAATGGAAACAGTAAGTAGAACAGTCTAACTAGTTTAATCAAATGTGATAGGAGTAAAGCTAATGGTTCCGCCGACATGCACACAAAAGATTAAAAATTGAAGAAACAAATTCGAACAAGAGATGAATCGGGAAAAGCGTAAGCTGCATTTCAAATGCGAACGTGATATGTCGAAAGATTTGCTGTGGTTAACGTTAGGGTCCCCACTAAATAAGATGGCATGCACTAACCAGTTGTGTTCTATAGTTGTGCTATCGATTAACCAGCCTGAAGTCTCAACTCATGAGAATTAGTTTTGGTACTGAACGAACACCGAGGTAGCTGGTTGACGGGCTCTCCAAGAACGTCGCCTAATAACCGTGGAGGTTACAACTGCAACAGAGGGTCAGGAGCGAGACCAGGAATTTTTCTAAACACCAGCTGGCAAACAGCATCGCAGGATGGACGTTGGGTGATCAGCTGCAGGTGATGTTGCACGAGTAACGGCAATCAGAGAAAGGTAATCCACAAGATTGTCAGGTCACACATGAACCTACGGTGACGTGGGTTCCACCGTAGCATTGAACATCCTGTGTAAGCTGACTTCGCAAGGCCTATATAAGTAAATGAGGCTTTGAGAAGATTCACAGTTCTTAGAAATGAGCTTTTCCATATGTTTATTTGTTAAGTATACTTCGGGTTTGTAATAATCCGAGTAAGCTGAGATTGGCAAAAGTTAAAACATGTAAGCCAAGACGCCAGCTGTTAAAACACGTTATTGGTGACACAGATGCTAACACAACCAACATAACTAGTGGGCGAAAGAAAAGAGGTAAATGATAAAACGCACCCCTAAATTGCTTGGCGTGATATTTTTCCTTGAATCGATTCATCAGTTCCTTTTCATCCATGGAATCCCATGCCTGGTAAACCGGAGGCAAATTCGATGCATTCTCAGAGAGCGTAGAAATAGTAGATTCACCAAGATCTAGAAAGGTGGCATACAGAAGGAAAGTTCGGAGCCGTCACATGGGGATCAGAGGCGTAACAAATCCAAAACAGCCATGCTCAGGATGGAAGATAGTGAACAAGTTGCATTGGAGACGGGCACGCTGATGAACTCGACGAAACAAGTCATTACCATTAGTAATCACTCGATAAAGGCAGACAAAAGCTTGATATGTTAACATTTCGGCTGCCCCAGTCGGTCGCAACGCAGTGCATGCGAGAAAAACACACGTAGTAAAACATTTTGGCGAATCGCACGGAAAAGGGTGGTACAATCGGTAAGAATACATTAACGCTGATTGTGCAATATTCACCAGTTGCCAATGAAACGTATTTGTGTTACGAGAACGTCAACAGATTTAAATTGAGGAGTGGTTTCGCTGTTTCTGCACTTAACACTTCATGACCGGTTTCGTCTTTGTTTAAACTTATCTAGTGGATATAGTCCGAGTTTGGAGTGGAACTCGGGTGCACAAAGGCAGGGCCCCATGTCAACCAATCGCCAAACTACCAGTAACATCGTCGTACAAGTTAGCGAAAAATCTTTGGAGGAAATTAAAAGTCCTCTTCACTGGATCTGAGGAAAGATAAGCAATTATGAACAGTTCCTCGACAAACTGTATGATACGTAAAACATTTGTTCCCCTTCATCCATTTCGTCAAAGCAGAAAGAAGACATAGGTTGCGATATGTCAACATTTCGATTGCTCTCATCAGTCGCAAACACAATACAAGCAGAAACACAGACACATTTATATACATGGGAAAATATTGGCACACCAATGAAACTGTCAAAATCAAGACCAAGGCAATCTGATTGATTGCCTCAAGAGTTTTTGTGCACATAACACAGGTTGATAAGCGCTAATTAGCAACGCCTCACTGATTGCCAACCTTATCGGGTTCCTGTTACGTAATAACACCTTGAACGCATTAGTGGGGTTCACATAGTGACCAGTTGTCAAGAGGTGTTTGGCGATAGATGATGACGGACTCCGATTCGTTCTGTGGGGCGTTCCGTTCTGTTGCGCTATCATTTGTTCAACCCACTTTGGCAAGTGCTCAGCTACCCTCTGAGCCAACCGACGGTTAGTCTTGCCTATGTAAACATCACCGCAACTGCAGGTGAATTGATAAACCACATGAGAGGCCGAACTATCCGAAGGGTAGCTCTGACGGTCCTGAAGAACCAGTTTACGGGTAGTGTGCATGAGGCGCAACTGTGCGGTCGTGTATGTGCGACCAACTCGCCCTTTCATAATGTTGCTCGGTGGCTGGCGAAACTCTTAGATCCAGTGCGTAAACTCCTGACTGCGCACTGCCTGAAAGACTCTTTCGAACTGGCGGAGACACTGGAACAACTCTCACTGGGCTCGGAGCTCATGTACTCCATAGACGTGGATTCACTGTTCACAAACGTGCCCCTTCATGAAACAGTTGACGATTTGTGTCATTTCATTCTGAGTCAAAACCTGCATGTGGGTCTTCCAGTGGAGTATTTGAGAGACCTGATTCTACTCTGCACAGAAAATATACGGTTCGAGTTTGAGGGGACGCCATACAAGCAGATCGACGGTGTCGCCATGGGCAGCCCATTGGGACCAGTTTTAGCGGATATCTTTCTTGGCTTGATTGAAAGACAAGTTGCTGCCAGTATTGGTGAGGCGAAACTGTATAAACGGTATGTGGATGACATCTTGGTATTCACCAGAAGCGAACATTTTGCGCGACTGTTAACCACTTTGGGTTCAATTCACCCCAACCTATCGGTGTCCCACGAGATAGAACAAAATGGCAGCCTGCCATTTTTGGATATTCTCATCAAGAGACGGGATGGAGGTACACTGCAGCGCACCGTTTACCGCAAGGCGACCTGGAGTGGGCAGTACCTTCACTTTTCCAGTTTCGCCCCGGTTGCATACAAACGCGGTCTAGTGAAGACACTTTTCTACAGGGCTAGACGAATTTGTAGTCCGGAACTGCTGGAAGCTGAAGAAAAGTTTCTGTATAGGACCTTAGTATCGAATGGTTATCCCGAAAAGTTCGTCCAAGTGCACAGCAAACCCCCCAAGAAGAAACTGCCAGTGCAAACGGCAGAGAAAAAGGCTGTTTATTTGGTTTTGCCGTTTAAAGGGGACTATGTGGCAAATGATATCGGACACAAGCTCAGGTCCGCCATAAATCGCACATACACGATCGCACAGTTGCGCCTCATGCACACTACCCGTAAACTGGTTCTTCAGGACCGTCAGAGCTACCCTTCGGATAGTTCGGCCTCTCATGTGGTTTATCAATTCACCTGCAGTTGCGGTGATGTTTACATAGGCAAGACTAACCGTCGGTTGGCTCAGAGGGTAGCTGAGCACTTGCCAAAGTGGGTTGAACAAATGATAGCGCAACAGAACGGAACGCCCCACAGAACGAATCGGAGTCCGTCATCATCTATCGCCAAACACCTCTTGACAACTGGTCACTATGTGAACCCCACTAATGCGTTCAAGGTGTTATTACGTAACAGGAACCCGATAAGGTTGGCAATCAGTGAGGCGTTGCTAATTAGCGCTTATCAACCTGTGTTATGTGCACAAAAACTCTTGAGGCAATCAATCAGATTGCCTTGGTCTTGATTTTGACAGTTTCATTGGTGTGCCAATATTTTCCCATGTATATAAATGTGTCTGTGTTTCTGCTTGTATTGTGTTTGCGACTGATGAGAGCAATCGAAATGTTGACATATCGCAACCTATGTCTTCTTTCTGCTTTGACGAAACTGTATGATGTCAAGATAGAAAGTGTGCTGTTATTTGAGGTCACTGTTCTCTTCACATCGATCAACCACGGAGTTAAAAAGGTGACAATGATGGAAATAGTTCGGAACCAACCTAGTATAACAAAAACATGGTAATGGAATGTGGGAAATTTTGAACCACTGAATGGTCACTTATTTCCCTATGGATAAACACATACACACAACACACACTATACACGTTACCTAGAGGTGGGGAAACACCTCAGCTACTGTGCCGAAATATCTAAAAGAAAAGAAGGGAGTAAAATGCTACAGGTGTAAGTCACTGAGCTACCGGTAATGGATGGGCATCTTTCCGGTAAGCTGTCTGCCGGCTACTATGCAGCAAAAAAAGAAATTTCCTATACAAAATAATGAGATCGTAGTTGAAGAAGAGCCTACGTGGGATGGGGATGAGGCTGGACCTTACCGTGGTGCGATGGCTTGTGTGCCTCAGCGATCCATTGAGCTATGCTGGTGGTGTTTTTGCACCTTCAGAGTTACTCATACCAGATTGGTCAATGGTTAGAGGCCAGACAAACTCAGCCTCCTGGTTGGGGGTTGGAATGAGGGTGGCCCCTTATTCCTTAAAACGGACTCCTTGTAGCCCAACGCCAAACCCGCTGCCTTGCGGTAAGGTTTTTAAACCAAAGGCTTTGGTTGAGAACCCTAATCGTTCTCCTGTCTAGGTCTGGGCAACCTGACAGTATCCTGCCCACGAAATACAATGAATTTTCTTCAAACAAATGAACGCACATATCAACATCTGAAAGGAGCGCCCATGAGGTTACTCATATCATGTGTCTTTGCTGAGGCCGGGATGCACATTACTATGCCACTGAGCAATCTGAAGCTTTGTATCCGGTATATAATGACACATTTGTTATATTAAAACGAAATTTAACAATATACGATCAGTATCACGTTCGGGAACATCGAAACCCTCCTCGTAGTGCCAGGTGGGTGGTTCGGCGGCAATGTTCTAATATGTGGTGGGTTTTCGCTTGAAAAGCATTCGCCCTATGAAAACCCACATATGTCCCTTTGACAACACTGCTCCTTGTTTCACTAAGGTGGAGCATTGCATTCCAACAGCTTATTGACGAAATTGTGGTGAGGACTGGATCCGTTTGGCAACCGACCAAACGAATGGCGTATGAAATGAACAATCGGTCACCGGTTTCCAATGTGCGCGATTTCCTGAATACGCTCCGCTGGCTTGCGGTAGGCTATTCAGCCAAAGTCAACTCTACTTCAGCTTGGCCAACCTGGTGGTATCACGCCCTCTGGACAAAAATCTTGAACTGGTATACAGTGTGCTCACATGCTTCCTGCATTCATGCGACATCATCAAACGCCAACTGTTCATGTGCTAACAATTCGTTACCCGTTTTTTGATTCCCGTGCTCATTGATCTACTTCCGATTGCATCGAGAACCATGGATTCCAACCAGTGGCCATTTAGCAACCCAGGTCCTCGTTCCGTCTGGTGTGCTTCAACGTACGGGATACTCATCAAGATCGGGCAGTAAGTCGGTCCAGTCCCTCGATACTGATGGCTTGTCGAACAACCTCGTGGTTCCAGCTGAGTGGTTCGGGATTATCCCGTTCCAGCGAATCGTTCCGCGGCAGTGTTCCAGGATATGGTGGGTTATCGCCTGGCAAGCGTTCTCCCTATAAAAGCCACATTTGTCCGTTTAATAACACTGTGACGTGGCGGATGTGACTCCCCACTAAATAAAGTCACTGCCCCTTGCCTCACTCTGATTGGCATTGTAATTCAAGGGTGTGTTGGGCCCCTGGTCCTATGCAGTACTAAAGACGTAGGAACCACTTGTGTGGTCACCGGCTCCCAACGGGTTGCGATACTTTCATATGGCCCTGTTGCCTAGTAGGTTATATCCTTGATCAAAGGCTCGAGGTGGGGCCCCCTGAGCCAACCATCTACTTCCGGGTAGGCAACCGGGTAGTATCTCGCCCAGTTCCGAACAATGAACTTAAAACCACAACCACTCACACGCTCTCTTGCTGCTACGATGCTATTCACTCATGTTACTATGCCAACTTCACGAGCACACGCCATCATTTTACCTACCCTTCCCTTGTATCATGCACACCCATTATTACCTGATTCCTTTATGGTGATCAACCCCACCTACACCGATGAACCTGTTCCCGTGATAGCTGCCAAC